TGCTGTCTGCTGTCTGCTGTCTGCTGTCTGGGTGCTCGTGACTCGTGATTGCATGCACGTACACATGCAAGCTTATCTTCACTCCGATGCTGGAAGATCGCGACGCAGCAGCTGCAGCGTGGATCTGCACCTTTCACCCAAATCTCTTCTCTGTTTGCAACACAAACGATGACGCACGGACCTGCTGGATCGCTCGCTTGTTGCCCAAGGAGGAGGAGAAAATATGTGATGCGGTGATGCGGTGATGCGGTGTGATGATCCCTGCATTTCGTTCTTCTCGTTTGCTTCGCTGCCGCTTTCGATCGGATGGATGATGCTGCTGCTTTTCATCTGCTTATCGCAATTTGATCGGACACTTGTCGGAGCAGGTGGATATTATCAAGCGTGCATCCTCGTAGCGCCCTCAACGATGTTAGACCGCAAATTCTAGCAGACGTGGAGCTTTGTTGCGGGGCCGGGCGAGTGCTACAGTAGAGGCTCGCGATTATCGCTTCGCATCCGATCGCGACCACAGGAACTGCTACCTCACGCTTTCACCCAGATGGCGTCTCCCCTCTCCACCACCACGACCACTACCACCTCTTTGCTGAACCACTCCAGCAAAGGTCCCTTTCCTTTTCCTAACCAACTTGACTTACAAAGATGTCGAACCTTCCCAAAGAGCCAGAGTTCGAGCAGGCGAGTCATAGCAACGCAGCGCCGAGCTTTGCATGCACCCAGCTGACGATACCTCAGCAATGTGTCACTCTTTCGCTCGCAATAGGCGCTGCACGAGGTGGAGACTACACTTGCGCCTTTCCTCAAGAAGTACCCCGAGTACAAGAAGGCGCTCGAGATTGTCCAGATCCCAGAGCGCATCATCCAATTCCGTGTTGTCTGGGAAGATGATAATCACCAAGCTCAAGTCAACCGCGGGTTTCGCGTGCAGGTGAGGCTCGAGTGAAGGAGGATGTGAGACTAAACGTTTGTATGCTGCAGCGATCTTCTGACTTCGCGACCTCAAACTCGGCGTGTGCTCAGTTCAACAGCGCACTCGGACCTTACAAAGGAGGTCTCAGATTGCATCCCACAGTCAATCTCAGCGTGCTCAAGTTCTTGGGCTTCGAGCAAGTCTTCAAGAATGCATTGACTGGCATCCCTATCGGAGGTGGTAAGGGTGGCTCTGACTTTGACCCAAAGGGCAAGAGCGACGCAGAGGTGCGCCGCTTCGTCAAGGTGAGCTGGAGCTGGCGTATGAGAGCATACCTGCGGAGCCATGAGAGCTGACAACGTTGTGTCCAACTTCCTAGTCATTTGCGACTGAGCTTTCGAGACACATCGGAGCTGATACTGATGTTCCAGCTGGAGACATTGGTTTCTCGACCAGGGAAGGTGGCTTCCTCTTCGTGAGTGAACGAAAATGCCGTGCTGGCATGCGCAGTGTGATTTCATGTTCTGATTTGCGTCATTGACTTTGGGGTTACCTTCAATAGGGTCAGTACAAAGCCCTCAAGAACGAATGGGTGGGCATCCTGACGGGTAAGGCCCTTGACTGGGGTGGTTCCCACGTCAGGCCCGAAGCAACCGGCTATGGAACTGTGTACTACGTGGAGCATATGCTTGCTCACGCGGGCCACGCCGACGGCTTCAAGGGCAAGCGCGTGATCATTAGCGGTTCGGGCCAAGTTGCGCAATTTGCAGCACTGAAGGTGATTGAGCTCGGCGGAACCGTCTTGACCTTCTCAGACTCAAAGGGTAGTCTGGTCGCCACTGGCGAAGCTGGCTTTACGAAGGAGGAGATCGAAGAGATTTACAAGATCAAGTTCGCCAGGAAGGAGCTCTCCACCCTCGGTGACAAGGGCGGCAAATACAAATTCCATGGCGATAGCGCTCGCCCCTGGACACTTATTGACAAGTGAGTCTGATACAGCAGTCTTGCTCAAGCCCTCCTCGCGTCTTTGCAGAGTACCTAATACATCCTTCTTCTATTAGATACGATGTGGCGCTTCCCTGTGCAACTCAGAACGAGATGAATGCGCAAGAAGCTGACTTTGCCATCAAGGCTGGATGCGTCGCAGTCGCAGAGGGAAGCAACATGGGTTGCGACCCAGGCGCGATCGACGCTTTTGAGAAGTCTCGCGTGGAGAAGGGCAAGAAGGGAACTTGGTACGGTCCAGGAAAGGCCGCCAACTCTGGTGGTGTGGCCGTATCTGGTCTTGAGATGCAACAGAACAAGGGTCTCACTCAGTGGACCCCAGAGGTTGTGGACGCCAAGTTGAAGGATATGTGAGTTGCGGCGCCTTGAGCCACCACGCAAAAAGAGAGATTTTAGCTGACGCATTGCGTCGCGCACTGGGCATCCTCTACTCCGCAGCATGAAGTCTGCTTTCCAACAATGCTACGACGCTGGCGCAGAGTTCCCCCTATCTGGAAGCAAGGAGGAGATCCCTTCGCTGCTTGTAGGTGCCAACATCGCGGGTTTCCGCCGCGTTGCCAACGCCATGAAGGATCATGGTGACTGGTTTTAAGTTGCAGTTTAGTACATTGTGCATCATTGTGACTTTTACTCGTTATCAAATGTCCATCCATGTCTTGTGCTGGTTGCTTGGAATGGAGGTGACGGCTGACAACGCTTGTGCCAAAGCAACTGCAAACTCTATCGCATGCAAAGCAGTGCAGTGATTTCCCATAAGAGACTTTTGCGCTGTTGAATGGTTACGAGACAGTGAGATGGTGAATCCAAAATCGTGGATGAATCAAGAATCACAATCAGGAACCACGAATGCAAGTCACAAGTCGTGAGTCTTGAGTACACGCGGCCCGCACGGTGCTGCACGTGACTGCGCGTCTCGGCGACATCTATATTCACGTGAATTAAAGCTTCCAATTTGGTGGTCAAGGCGGAGGAAGGTGGCTCGGAGTGTTCGGGATCTGCAACCTGCTCAGCGCATGGTCGTGTGAGGGGGTCAAGATGCTGAGGCTTAGGCGTGATCCCACGCAGTGGAGAGGTGGCATCGTGTGACCACGTTCAACTCGCTCCAAGCACCTAATAGGGCACGTTCGCAGATCATCTGGCCGGTCGCGGGCGAACGTGAGCAGGGGGCCAAATTTCGCGTGGTAGGAAACCGTTCGGGCACACCGCGTCGCGTGGCTCTGCCTGGCGCTAACTTGAGGTCCGTGCCCTCGCCATAAGTAAGCTCCTCTCCGCCCGCGAACGGAGACGGACATTTGAATTCATGCATGACCAACGCGCTTGAACTCGAGCACCCAAGTTCAAATCGCATTAGCGCGCCCTTTTGAGAAAGCGTTAGAACAACATCTTTACCTACGCGCGCAGGGCTTTGCTGGCGCGGGCGGGCGGGCGAGCGGGCCTGCATGCATTCCACAATCAACGGTCGACTGATGTGGTCGTCGAGTCAAAAAGTTGCACACGGTCGCTCATCTTCCCAGCGTCCTGAGGTCGCACCAGGCTTCACAGCCCTAATTTGGGACGGGTCACACGAACAACGCATCCAGCACTTGCCCACGGAAAGTCTGGGATGGGAGCATCAGAGAAGAGAGCCTCACAGTGCCAAGATGTGATCTCTGCATGTACCTCTTGGCCAGTCGCAAGTCAAGACTTTCCTCAAGAGTCACCGTCGGGTCATGCAAGCTCTATAAAGCTGCTCGCGACCGCTACAGACATCTATGATTCCACCAGCTGGACCGCCGCTCTCCGCTGATCGTCGATCTCCCCTTCATCATCCCTCCAACGTCCTCGCAATCCGGATTCTGAGATCTGCGTACAACCTGCGTAGACGTTTGCTCAACGAACTGTACCACCAGACTTTGCTTCTCTCTTCCGCAACTGCCTCATTCGGACCTTGTCCGATGATTTTGGGTTTCGTCGAGGCTCTGAGCACATAAAGTCGGACTATCACTTGCCACCTCTTGCTCGACACGACCCTCTAGCTGCTTCACCTCACCTCGACGCTTAGCCAACTCCACCGAGCTGGCCTGACCTCCTCGCTGTGATTGCAAACTTCAAATTCAGTCTGCCACAACCGCAAGTCGCCCCTGGCACTCGCCACATACCGAACCACAAACTCATCCACCCGTCCGAGTCATGGCTCCTACCGCGACGTCGCACTCCCCAATGTTACCATTCAGCGCGCCTGATCAGGCGCTAGCTCCCATCCGGCGTATATGCTGTGTGGGAGCAGGTTACGTAGGAGGACCGACGTGTACGGTAATAGCCCTCAACTGCCCATCCATCATCGTTACCATCGTCGATGTCAATCCTGACCGTATTGCAGCTTGGAACAGTCCTCCAGACGAGAACGGCAACCTGTCAAATTTGCCAGTCTACGAGCCTGGCTTGGCAGAAGTGGTCAAGCAGTGCAGGGGCAGAAACTTGTTCTTCAGCACTGATATCGATGCAGCCATAGAACAAGCTGACCTGGTCTTCGTCAGCGTCAACACACCTACCAAAAAGAGCGGAATGGGTGCCGGCTTTGCAGCCGATCTGCAGTGAGTTGGAGAGCGTGCTGACGTCTTTCCCTCGCAATCGGAAAGCTGACGAGAGATTTAATGTCCTCGCTTGTCCCTTCATCTTGCCTAGCTATGTCGAAGCGTCCACACGCCGCATTGCAGCAGTATCCACTTCCTCTAAAATCATTGTAGAGAAGTCGACTGTGCCATGTCGAACGGCCGCGTCTATGCGTACCATCTTGGAGTCCAACAGTCGACCAGGACTTCGTTTTGATATTCTCTCTAATCCAGAATTCTTGGCCGAAGGAACTGCCATCTCCGATCTGCAGAACCCTGATAGAGTGCTCATTGGCAGCTTGGACACGAGTGCAGGGCGGATCGCTGCTGCTCGCCTGGCCTCCGTCTATGAGCATTGGGTGCCTCAATACCGAATCTACACGACGGGTCTGTGGAGCTCTGAGCTCAGCAAGCTGGTAAGTCTCTGCTGCGCGCCTACGTATCTCCATGTCGTTGCCTCCACGAGCTGATCAAGCCTGCATGTTGAATTCACAGGCGGCCAATGCTCTCCTTGCGCAGCGCATTTCCTCCGTCAATGCCATGGCTGCCATTTGCGAGGCGACTGGGGCGGACGTCAACGAAGTTGCCCACGCGTGCGGTCTGGATGCTCGTATCGGACCCAAGTTCCTGCAAGCCAGCGTGGGATTCGGCGGTTCTTGCTTCCAAAAGGATATTCTGAACCTCGTCTACCTGAGCGAGTCTCTCAACCTGCCTCAAGTTGCCGAGTATTGGAAGCAGGTGAGCAGCAATGCACCCACGCGCAGCCGAGAGCATGTCAATCTGGCTCACATTCTGCGTTCTTTGCTCGCGCAATGCAACAGGTCATTACGATGAACGAGTGGTCCAAAACTCGATTCTCGAACAAGGTTGTGAGCACCCTCTTCAACACCATCACCGAGAAGCGCATAGCCGTGCTCGGCTTCGCCTTCAAGAAGAACACTGGAGATACGCGCGAATCTGCTGCTATCACTTTGTGCAGGAACTTTAGACAGGAGAGAGCAAAGGTGGTCATTTACGATCCCAAAGTTCCACAATCTCAAATGTATCTCGATCTGACCGAGCCTGGCGTGGTGGATGACCGCGAAGCTGGTGAGTGATGCAAGGCTCGGAGTGAGTAAGGTTCAACGTGAACGAAATTGACGCGCTCTTCTTTGTCTGGATCTGCTCTGCAGTGCGCCAACAGGTGACGATTGCATCTTCTGCCCTCGAGGCGTGTGCCGGCGCAGAGGCCGTCGTTATCGCGACGGAGTGGGACGAGTTCAAACACTTGGACTGGAGAAAGGCATACCAGATCATGTCCAAGCCCGCCTTTGTCTTTGATGGGCGCGGCATCGTCGATGCCAAGGCTTTGAGAGCCATCGGTTTCAAAGTCCACTCTGTCGGAAAAGGCCCCGAAATCGTTGATCCTATCTGGAGCTGAATTACTTTGCGGCGCTCCGCCAGTCCTCGCACCTTTGCCTCCCTTCATCCTCCTTCCGTCTACTCGTCACTAATTGTCTATCTACGCCCGAATCGCTGTAAAGATGCTCGCAACGAATATCACGCTATCCCTAAAACCATGACGACTGCAGAAAACTTGCATCTGGCGGAGCAGCTGCGAGACAAGCATCGAGTTTCAAGCGTCGACAAGAAGATTGAATCTGGCAATTGTGGTGATGTTGGTAAAGTGCTTGTCCTCGACCGAGCGCAACATGCTGGACTCGGGAGAACGCAGAGAGTGGAGATGTGCAGGAAGAAGGAAGGGCAGTGTATCGTCCCGAATTCCACGAACAGACGTGCAGGGACATTTGGACTCGACATGAGAACGAGCAGAGCACTGCATGAGCACACAATCAATGAGTATCTCCTTGGTGCGCTTCGCATCTTGGGAAGTTGAACTGTGCCACCTTTAAACACCTGGCAAAGCCAACGCCGCTTCGGGGATTTGACCCAGCAAGTACTTTTGCAGCTTGAAGGCAGTCGGTGGGTCGTCTTGCGGGCTGCAGAATGACGGGTGGAGCTGGGTCAGCATGCGTGCTGGCCCTTCGCCAAGCTCGCGATGTGTAGGGTCGCACTCACATCATGTGGCCGCTGTTGATGACCTCGACAAAGGTGAGGCCTCTCTCTGTGTGGAAAGTGCCCGCCTTGGTGCCGTTGACGGTGAGCAGGGATTGGTTGGGCTTTCTTTGGAAGCCCTGCTTGCCGTTCCACGTGGTGTTCTGAATGGCGAGAGCGCTTCCTTGAGCAATGAGGACGTAATCCCTGAGCCCGTGCTGGATCACATTGCGCTTGGCTGGCGACTTTTCAATCGCGCGCTTAAGCACACCGCTCTCGGATGGTCCTGGCGACGTGTCGCCGTCTCCCAGGAAGGGACCTTGTGGCGTGCACTCGTACCAAGTGATTGAGGGATCAGCATGGATGGCCTTCTTGAGCCCCTTGATGTCGTTGATGACGTTGATTGGGCTGGGCTCAAGCTTGTCGGGAGGGAAGCCAAGAGCATCGCTGACGCCGGGGCACTGAGCGTACGGTGGGCTGACATCGTACACGTTGAAACAAGCATTGAGATCGGTCGCAGTCGTCAGGATTTCGGTCCAGGGAGAGAATTCAGTCCTGTTCCACTTCTTGGGAATTGGCAGAGGACCGGGAGGAGGGTACACGAGGTGCTTCTTCACGTAGTCCTTGATGCCATTTGCTTCCGCCTTCGATTCGAGCTCAGCAATGTACGAGTCGTTGAAGTGAAACAGCTTCTGGTGAGCCTTGGCAAACTCAATGGCGGGCAAATCCTCGGTGATCGGGTCTTCGGCAAAAGATGGGTCGTTGATACCGAACCCTTGAAGGTTGATGCCAGCCTTCTTGGCAGTCTTGTCGGCGTAGATGTAGTCGCTCATGTAAGGGATGTACTTTCCGCTGCAGGTGGAGACCCTCGGCATCAGCTGTGACATTCTTTGCACGGGTGGGCACCAAGCCGCCGACTTACGCATAGCTTTCTCCAGTCAGCCAGAACTTCTTGCCGTGCAGGTTATCGAATGTCTTGAAGAAATTCTTGAGGAAGCCAGTGAACTCTCTCGCGACATCGACTTCATTCGTAATGTCGCTCTTGCCTTTGGTCAATCCCACGGTGACAGGCTGTTCCACCCAGAGCACCCAGCTGAGCCTAGTCCAGCTCCAAGGATTCTTTTCGACCTTGGTGGAGTTGAAGGGGAATTTGAATGGTCCATTCTCTTGGAACAACCCTTCGAGAGATGAGCAACCAGGTCCACCATTCAGCCAGACCACCACGTCATCGTGACCCACTCCTTCGGAAGGAGGAAAGAGCCAGAAGAAGAGCTGGTTGGGATCGTCCTTCTTGTTGGTGATGGGTAGATTGCCAGCCCAGGACTTGCCCAAGGAAAAGGGAATACCGGGAACGCGATCAGCAACAGCAAAGTCTGTGTGCGGAAAGCATTGCGCCAGCACAGAGGGGGAAATGTGAGAGGTGTGAGTTTAAGCCAGACGTGATGGTTGCACATCGCGCCAAATGACAATGCTGCAAGGTGCAATGCCATGCTAGCTTCAGGCCGTGACGAACGGGCGCAGACATGATTTGATGTTGATGT